ACGCCAATTTTTTTTCAGTTACCATAATAGGAACATCTCCTGTAGATCGTCGCTGTTAGGAACCATGCTGGTAAATCACGAAAGCCGCTGATTCCGCTGTTTTTATGAGGTGTCCTTAAGTCCGGTGGTTTTGATCAGACGATCGTTCGGAAACTGGTGATGCCACCGGATGTTCAGGTTGTTTCTAGAACAACTCCGCTGGAACCGGTTCAGCTGATCTTCGTTGTGTTTTTGGACTGCAGCTGTCTCCAGGACACACAGTAGTATGGAAAAGGCCGCTGTATCCAAGATGAACTTCGTCATCAATGAAACTGTTCTGTCTTTAAGTATTCAGTTCAGCTGTCGAAACGTTGGTGTTACTGGTCCCATGCATCGATCAATATGCGGATCGCAGCCTCCATCGTTAGCCACAACTGAACCGAGATGTGTGAAATGATCGACTGCATCCACGGTCGAGTTATTCTACTTGATCTCGACGCAGTCTATCGCAGCTCGAGCTCTCACATTTGTATTCGTAACCAGTAACCTTACATCGGTTGCTTTTTTGCACATAGCTAGCCAGGTCTCGTAGGCCACTTTGGGTATCGCTCAGCAGAACGACGTAGTTCGCGTACTTTAAGACGGCTAAGTGGATGGCCGGATGTCAGGAGCTTCATTTTGACTTGATAGTGACACCTTATTCTTCTATCGAAATGAAACTCATCACATCACGAAGTAGTCAACCACGGTGATGAACCATAGCGATGAGGACACCTTTTCTTGAAGGACTCCATTTAAAAGTTTCAACCAGTCCAACAGATCGTCTTCACTTCAAAATGCACAAGATGTTCCTTTGTATAATCCTTCCATCCGGCTGACGATCCTTTCTGGGATGCCTTAATGACGCAGGATCAGCCACAGGTGTGGCGGTTGACTGAATCAAAGGCGGCGCTGAAGTTCAGAAAAGTCGAGTGCTTGGGGAACTGGAACTTGCGGCATTCTTCGGTCATTCGTCGAAGCAAGAAGATGTTATTCGTGCATGAGTGTCCAGTGCGGAACCACGTTTGGTTCGTTCTCAACGACTCCTCAACCTTCTTCATTAATCTGCTGAAGACAATCTCTGCCAACACCTTCATCAGAACAGACGGCAGGATGATCCTTAGATAGTTCACACAGTTCGAATGATCATTCCGCTTGAATATGGGGATAATCATTCCCTTCATCCAATCTTCTGGAATCGTACCCTCCTGCTAGATCTCACTGCATTTATCTAGGTGAATAGGTCTTCGCCTCCGTACTTCAAGAATCCCACACTGAGTTCGTCACGTCAGCTAAACTTTGAATTTCAGCACTGTTTTACAACGTTCCTACTTTCTTCGGCTACTGGATCTGCACAAGGAACATTTATGTACCGAGTAGGAGCCTCGGCAAACGAGACATCTTCTGGGGTGTGACTGGGTCCGTTCAGCAAGTCCTTAAAATGCTCAACCCATTGTTAGGAGGAAAATTTGCTTTTAGGCGTCGTGTGGTAACTTTTTTCACCACTATCACTCAGAATCGTCATCTTCCGGCATCGTTTTCTAGTCCCCTGTATTCTCCGCTTTTTCCAACATCACTGATTCCTCCTCCGGCCATGCCGGTCTCGACAAGACATCTGTGGATTCTTTGCTGTTCGGCATCATCGCTGCTCTTTCGTTGTTCCTCGATAAGCCTTAGGGTGTCGAGAGAAGCTAATTGCTTCTTGGTCTTCTTTGTGAAACCGACTGTCGTCGCTGCTCCTTTGACGATAGTGCTTTTTAGTTGTTCGTAGTGCAGCTCGGGCGACCGTAATTTTCTGCTCCTTCACGGCCGTGAATCTGCTGCCACGTTCCGCTCTGAACCCTGCTTGAGTTGCAGACTTCGTCAAGTTGTTCAGATTCAGTCGACGTTACCTTTTGGTGCTAGTCGTCTTTCAACCTGTCGCTCGATGGAGGCGCAGTTTCGCTGTCGAAGAGGCAACTTTGCCGAGTGTTGCTCACGATGGCATGATCGATCTGACTTCTGAAGCTCCCCATGGAGGTACCCCTGTCTGCTGATGGAGCCTTTAGTGTGAGAATTGCATCCTGTCGATGGACATACCGTGTGATGCGGAAAACGTTAACTGGGAGCGTCCACTGTCGTTCGCGTCGGTGCAGCACTCGGACTTGGGCATTTGGACACTGAGGTCATCGACGATAACCGATAACTGATGGTATGGCAACGAAGATAGGACCTGGTGGAAACAGTCATTAAACTGGCCCTTCTGTTGATTCTCAGTCACGCTGGTTAGAGCTTACAGGATGACGATGCTTTGACTTACATGCAGGTTGGCGAATCTACCGACGATCACGCGGCAGTATGTGTTCCCGAAGGAAACCAGCATCTTCACTTGGAGGAAAGGAGGACAGCAACTCCTGCTTCCCGGCGGCTGTCTTCTCTGTCTGATCAGCAAAACAGCCAATTGACGTATAGCCCCTGTTTGCCATGGCCAAGCAGTCGACATACGGCAAACCCGAGTATGTCAAACTTGTACCGGCCTGCTATTAGGGTGAGGTCGTTTAGACTCAATGTCCTGACGTACCAACAGCCGATACTAACCTTGTTGTTGCAGATGTCCGTAATCTGTACATCACATTACTAGGTTCACATGGTTGTGTCAGCAGGTGGACGTGAGCCATGAATCATATCGCTATGACTTCGAGAACAGAGCGCCACAAAGATGCAATCGCGCCATGACGCAATGTACAAGGAATATAACAGGAAAGCTTTTTTGCACAATAACAAGATGATTTGAGAAAAATTTGCTACACTGGGATATCAGTAGTATATTGCTTGGCATCCATCTCCTCAGTGAGCGTCATTTATAGCGCTTACGCTGCAGCGTTCATTTGATTTTCGGTGCCCAATCAGGAATGGTTTGCTTAAGGATGTTTAAAATCTGTAGCTATTGGAAAAAGCGCAACTGCAGTCGGTCACTTATTATTCTTCTTAAGAAAAATAATGCACAAAACGGCGCAAAACATGGTTTGATACTGCACGAACGCAAAAGAGAGTGTGGTCCGTTGGGTGACTGACTAGTACCGACGTTTAGTCCCGTATTTTAAGGGTCTTCTTCAACGTAAGTGGTTATCTTCCGCTTCAGTTTATGGCTTTCAAGCGAGAAGGCCTTCAGGCGACTAACTACATTAGCGAAACTCTATCAACCACCTACCTTGAAGAAGGTCCGTGAGACAGGGATAGAAACGTCGGTACTGGTTAATTATTCGACTGACCACATTACCTTTGGCGTTGAATAGTATTAAACAGCGTTTTGCGCTGTCTTTTCAGTATGACCACCAACGCATGAACGAAATACTCTAAGAATCATGCAAGAGCGACTTAAGAATGGCTGTTTACTTTCCCTAGCCGGTACATTCGCCGTTTTGGCTTGCCATGAACCTCAAAACGCAAATGACTCATTGCTAACTGAAAGCTTACGGGACATATCGTATCTCATTCTTCAGGGGTAAATCGAATACGATAATGAGGGCACCATATCCATGAATCAAGTTGCCAAATGAGCTAAGCGTTTCATTCAGAGACGAGAGATCGTGGGTTCAAGCCTTATCAAATCACTCGCTTGACATCCGTGTGTTGTGCTGCAGATATTGAGTGCCAGTTCAGTGGAAGGAAAATGAGGTTAAAAGCTATGATATTAACTTAACTGGATATATAATTAACTGCCAGGAACTCCTGGCTTAAGACACAATGGAGATGGTTAGGATCGCAACATAAGTTCCATCAAAGAAGAGCGCCGCAATTGGAACCCAGTCATGAGGTGTAAAGAGGATTAAGGTCCAAACGGTTACAAGCATTTAATTTCTTTTTTCAAACCTGAATGGAAGGACAAAGAGTCACTTGCTACAAGGAAAGAAACCGTGAAACACTGCATCCTCTAATTAACTAGATAGAAACAACTCATAACGCTATACCCTATGCCGCACACGTCACCCATGGTCATGAGTGCCGAACGAGCATGCTGACCGAAAAGGTGCCAGAAATGAAGACCCCTGGAAGACTGAAAACGTGATGACACTCAAACAATGACAGGAAAATGGAAATCCAAGACACCGCTTGTGAGTCGCTCCTTCTTCAGATCAAAGGATCACCAAAGCGATTGCCTTGAGATGTGATCTGAACACTACAGGAACGAATGAAAAGGCAGATTCTCCTGAAAGTACAAAACTAAAAAATACTGAGGTACACTGAGGACCAGACTGCCAGCATGCACTGTACACATGGCACTGTCCGCCCTGGAATTTTGCTCGTGAAGCTTGCTCGCTTGACGGAGAACCTGGACCACTGCAAGAAACTCTTGAGACTGCTGACACTATAACCAGAAAGAAATAGAAGGCTCTGAAAATGGATCGATGGATGAATGCATAATGCAATGCGGACCGACTAGACTATATCATCCTTATATCCTTTTAACGAAAATGACTGATTGATTTGTATCCTATGCAAGCATACATTTATTTTTTAATAAACCACGTACCTTATTAGAAAAATCATACAGGCTGAGGAAATACAGGCTATTTCTAAAAAAAAGCATTATCAACAGGCAACGACACAGCATAAAATATAAGTGCATATGATCATATAATTAGCAAAGAAAGTCCTGAAAACGGCTATTAAAGTTACAGCTAAAACAACGG